CTGAAATAATGTGAAGGGGACTCTGGTTAGTTAAGGATCCAGATCCCTTCTATTATGCTGAAAGGTCTTCTGAGATACTTGATCTTGTGATTTCCACAGAGGAGATTGGATGGAAAACAATTCCCACCACTCTCGGTCCACAAAACCTCAGTTAACCCTTCCTCAGTGCAGTAGAGGCTGGGAAAAGCCTAAGCTTGTGCTCACTGAGTACTCAGATAGATGGCCAATAACAGCTCTGGTTCTTATCATATTTTGCTGAACAGATGTAACACATTTGATTATAGTTTACTGTAAACTTGGTTGAAGACATTAATATTATGCATGTGCTGTAATGTATATGAATTATCTTTTTGATATCTATTTATTTATGTTGTTATAATTCTAAAGTATGAAGTCTCTTTAAAGACAAAATTCAGCCAGCTGTGGGGATTTCAGGTGTTAGAGGTATATGAAATTAGAGAATTATATTTGTGCCAACCACGGTTTGAGGCCAGGCAGCCTGAATTTGAATCTTGAGTGTTATACATTCTGTGTAACTAGGGCAAAATATTTAACTTTATTACTCCCTTTTCTCATTTGCTAAGAGGAGATAACCATAGTGCCTACAAGGGTTACAGAAATTAATATTATGTAATTAACTCAATATAATGCCTAAAATAATGAAAGCTATATAAGCATTTTTATCATTGAGTAGCTATTATTGCTAACAATTAGGCACTTAAAACACTGAATGCTAATTATGAGATAAAAATCTATCATAATTTCACATGATTTAGCTAGTCGTCTAGTCTTTGTTTGAATATGTTTACTCTAGATTACAGTGTGATCTGTTGTAACGTGATGATAAATGCCAAAATTAAGTGCCTTTATTAGACATTTCCTGAAGTAATAAATGTTATTACTAAAATCTAACAAATATTGAGCATTATTTTTGGTACCAGACTCAGAGTCAAACCCACCACTCCCATTTGTATGCTGATCTGTGAATTTGCCTCACTGCTGGTGTTGTAGTGATATGAATATTAAGACCTAGAGAGTTTAAATACTAAATCGAGGCTCCCATATCCACTTTGTAGCAAGAAGGAGGTTGAATCTAGTCATAATCAGAAATAGGTCTCCCCTATCTTGATATTTCTGTCCTTTACTATTAAGCAAATCCTAGAAATCTTCCACTTTCCTTTATCTCAAAATCAGAATGGTCTGTGTGGTTTTGCCAGGATGCTGTTGGTTGTTGCTATTAAAAATGTATTCTCTCCTAAACCATTTCTATTTTCTAGATACCTTCCAGGTAGCTAATTAATTTAGAAATATAACTGCAGTAGCCCAGTTTAAAAATTGAATTTCATTCAGTATTTATTGACATTTATAAACTTAGTAGTTTATACTAAAAGTAAAGGCATTCTACCAATATGAATATCACATACAGTAGTCATGGCTAACCTTCCAAATAAGCCCTAATCTTAATTACTAGTATTTTACACAAACATTAGAAAAGCATTACTATATATTATCCCACGTCATTGACAATAGGTAAAGCACATGCAAAACTGAACACAAAGTTCAGTGAGACACCAATCGCAGAATATCATGTTTCTGATAGATAAATTCTTCAAAGTAATGGAATAACTAGTAGTTTTCTCTTCTGCCATTCTCTGTAATTAGCAATGATTTTTTCAGTACTTGAACTAGACTACTGACATTCAAACCATAGTCATATTGCAGCCATGTAGGTATTAGCCTTATATAATATGTACTGATAGGATATTCTCCTTAGTAAGACTTAACATGTCACTAGAAGTAGCATTTCAGGATATCTTGGACACATTTTCCCTGTTACCTTTGGCCCAGTAATTGCTGTTTTTGCATTCAGGATAACCCTGCTCACCCAGACTTGACTTCTTGGCTCACATCTCCTCAATCACTGCTGCCTTCTGCCCTTTGCTTTATAGGATATTTCTTAAGTTTTGTTAAGATGATGTTTGAGATCCCTGGTGCAAAATTTTTAAACCAATGGTCTGAGGTCTTCATGAGGACAGAGTATACATGATAAAGTACTCTGGAAATTCTACCTTATGACTACTGATTGATAATTTACAAAGATCTCCCTTTCTTTCTTCAGCCTGCCTCCCTGTAGCCTTGTAGTCTGAGTGTTGTCCAAGCCTAAACTCTTTTCTCTCTTATGCATGTCAGATGGTTATAATTCTATCATGGTTACAAATCTATCTATTTAATAATTTTGAATTCATATCTCTCCTTATCGCAAAGACTTTTGCTGTAGTTCAGTTTTTCATCAGGTCCTATCTGGACTCTTAGAATAAATAGTTTCTAATTGCCCTCCAAGTTCCAGGAACATCGCTCATACACATGAACAGCCATGTTGAAACTTTCTCAGTGATCCTTTTCTTCTAAAAGGCAGTCTTCAACCTCCTTAGTTGGAAGCCTGCCTGAGAGGTAGTCTCTGCTTTCTTTCCCAACCCTCTCATATATTTGCCTTTTGTCTTCCAAAAGATCTAAAGATGCTTTATTTTTATTTTCAGCATGATATATTCCACCCAGGGTCTCCCTCATACTTTCCATATCAAGCCTGTATTCCCCTGATAAGCTTTGGCTTGTTTCTCAAGACATAATACATAAAACCCACCAGGCAGTCTTTGTTGTTGCAGTCTGATATGCCTCAGGTTCATTTTCTTAGCTAGTCTCATTTGACCATCTCATTTGCTTTGTCAGGATTCTTATCAGAGCTTTTTTTCATGTGTGTCAGCTTCATCCTCCTCCATTCTTTCAAAATAGAAATATATCCCCTAATAATATAAATCCTAATGCTATAATGCACATTCTTTAGTATCTGTCTGTGTGTTTGTTTGTTTGTCTGTCTATCTATCATCTCCCAGATGCTGAAATTCCAAAGTAAAATAATAGATATTTCATCTTCTGGATCTGGGTTACCTCACTCAACATGATGTTTTCTAGCTCCATCCATTTGCAAACAAATTTCAAGATGTCATCACTTTTTTTTCTGCTGTGCAGTACTCCAGTCTGTAAATGTACCACATTTTCCTTATCCATTGTTTGGTCAAGGGGTATTTAGGTTGTTTCCAGGTTCTGACTATGATAAACAATGCTGCTATGAACATAGTTGAGCATATGTTCTTGTGGTATGAGTGAGAATCCACTCATAATTGGTTTTTAAACACAAAGCAAAGAAAACCAGCCTACAAATCATAATCCCAGAGAACCTAGACAACAGTGAGGAGCCTAAGAGAGACATACATGGATCTAAACTACATGTGAAGTAGAAAAAGACAAGATCTCCTGAGTAAATTTGGGAGCATGGCAACCATGGAAGAGGATTGAAGGGGAGGGGAGAGGAAGGGCAGAGAAAAATGTAGAGCTCAATAGAATCAATAAAAAATTAGATACTTCATCTTCCCAGAGACTAAATATAATCACTCAAAATTTAAGCAAACCTATGAACAAAATATTTTTATCTCAGGTTTCTTACTGAAAGTAAAAGTCACAGATAATCATCCCAAGTGCATGTTTCATTTATTCTCCAAGCATCCACATTTAAAAATATTCTTACCTCAGTCCCAGATGAATCCCACAAAAGACATTTTTCTCTACTCATGGTTAATATCTGTCTATCTGTCTATCCGTCTATCTATCTATCTATCTATCTATCTATCTATCTATCTATCTATCTATCTAT